TTTGTCTGGGAATAGAATTCTAAGTTTATAGTATTTTTTTCTTTTGTGACTTTAAAGATATTACTACAGAGTTGTCTGGATTGCATTGTTTCTGAATAGAAGTTTGTTGTAATTCTAATCTTTTGTCTTTGTAATTTGTGTTCTCTAGTTGTTTTTACAATTTTGTCATTTTTACAGTAGTTTGATTATCATGTGCTTTGGTGTTGTTTTCTTCATATTTTTTGTGCTTGAGGTTTGTCGAGCTGTTGGATATGTGAGTTTATAGTTTTCATCAAATATGGAAGATTTTCCACCATTCTTCCAACAGTGTTTTGTTCTCTCTCCCCCATAGTGCCTTTTTTCTTTTTAAATAATGGCTTTTTTATTACTATAATTTTAGAGATTTTATGTGTGTATACTAAGAGAGAGGGGAAAGGAGGAAGAAAGAGAGGGAGAGAAGCATTGATGTGTGAGAGAAGCATCAGTCGGTTGCCTCTCTCACACACCCCTACCAGACACCAATCCACAGCCCAGGCACATGCCCTGACTGGGAATCGAGCCTGTGACCGCTTGCTTTGCAGGATGATGCCCACCCCACTGAATCACACCAGTCAGGGCCATAGTGACTTTTATTAGGTTGCTTGAAGTTGTCAAATAGCTCACTGGTGCTGGGTTCATTTTTTTTTCATCTTTTTTCCTCTGTTTTTTAAAAATATGTTTATTAATTTTAGAGAGAGAGGAAGGGTGGGGGGGGAGAGACTGGGAGGAACATTGAGGTGAGAGAGAAACACTGAATGGTTGCCTCCTATATGAGCCCCAAGTGAGGATTGAACCTGCAACCCAGGTATATGCCCTGACCAGGAATTGAACGCTCAACGAACCCTCAACCTTTTGGTGTGTGGGATGGCACCCTAACCAACAGAACCACACCAGGCCAGGGATCTGTGTTTTATTTTTGCTTTCTAGTCTTGTGTCTTAAGGATTATTAACCTTTTATTCTGCAATGTTTAATGTGCTTTTCATCCCTCAGTGTGTTTTACTTCTCAGATATTGTTTTCATCTCTGGATTTTTTTTATTGTTTATTCTATATTCTTTTCTGTATCTTCCAGAGCATATGGAGTATATTCCATGTGAATGTATGGAATATATTTTTAATAAGTTTTTTAAATGTCTTTTTCTACTAGTTTTATTATCTGTAAAATTACTTGAGTTGGTTTTGATTGATTTTTCTTCTCATTATGGGTCATTTTTCCCTTCTTCTTTACTTGCTCTGTATGTTTTGATCGAATACCAGAGATTATGGATTTTACCTTTTTGTACTGAATATTTTTTGTATTTCCTGTAAATATTGTTCAGCTTTGTTCTGGATTCAATTAAGTAATTTGGAAGTCATTTGATCCCTTTTTTTTTTTTTTTTTTTTTTAGGCTATGCCCTCTAACACCAGTGAAGCAGTTAGTCTAGGGTTAACTTTCGCTCAGTTCCAAGTCTAGAGCCTTCTGAGTACTCGCCCAAATGCACTATGCATTATGCGATTTTCCACTGTCCCTCATGGGGACAGTGAGCTTGGGGTACTCTTCCCTCTAGTCCAGGGTGTTTAAACCTCAACACTGTAGGCATTTTGGCCCACATAATCCTTTAGTCAGGGCCCTGTCCTGCACATTGTAGGATATTTAGTAGCATCTCTGGCTTCTAGTCACTTGCTGCTTGTAGCACCTCTCTCCCCCAAATTGTGACATTCCAAAATGTAACAGACATTGCTCTGTCACCCAGGGGCAAAATCAGCCCTGATTGGGGACCACTACTCTAACCCCTTTTGATGGTTCTTTCCCTGACTTCAAAAAGTATTCCCTCACGTACATGAGATGATCAGTACTCAACTTAAGACTCAAAGGAGACCCTTTGTAGGTTTCTAGAACATACTTTCTGTGTAGTGCACTCTCGCTCTCTTTCTCTCCTTCTCTGCAAACTCTAGCTGCCTTCTGCTCCCCAGACTGCCATCCCCTCTCCTCAGCTCAGAGTACCACCACTAAGGTGCGATAATTATGTAAATCACCTCATTTGTTTCCCCCATCTCTGATGTCACTGTCTTTTGTTTCCTGAGATCTTACTTCTTTTTATTTTTTTAAAAAGATTTATACATTTGTTTATAGAGTGAGGGTAAAGGAAAGAGGGGGGGGGGAACATTGATCAGGTGCCTCTTACATGTACCCCATCCGGGGATCAGGCCCCACAACCCAGTAATGTGCGCTGACCTGGAATCAAACCGGCAACGTTTTGCTTTTTGGCACGATGCCCAACCAACTGAGCACTGGTGGGGACATTTCTTGAAAAATGTTTCATATGTTTGTTTCAATTTGTAGTTGTTTTAGGTGGAGGATAGTTTCAGGTCCTCTTATTCCATCTTGACCTGAAGCTAAAGTCCCAACACTTTGTCTTTCACTTCAGAGGGATGTCCTGAAATGCCCCAGACCACTGCACCCCTGAAAACACTAAAAGTGGTGTGCCTTTTAGTCCACACAGAGTTTACCTCCCACTTTCTGAACGTGTTACCAACGACTTAAGGGTATCAGCCACCTTTTGCTCATTCTCTTATTCCTTCTGTCCAGTCAGCAAGAGGTCATCTGTGTAATTGTTCAGGAGGTCTAGCTGTCTTCAGATTATATTATGACAGTAAGAGAGTTAAAATAGCCTGAAAGGCAAATTTGTAACTTAATGTAAGTTAATATTTTCCCATATGAAAAATTGTTGATATTGTCCCACATGAATGCATACTGTTTCTGATCCTCTTTTGTAACTGGAATGGAAAAATGTACATTCACCAAATCAATATCTGAAGCCGCCCTGGCTGGTGTGGCTCAGTGGATTGAGCCCTGGCCTGCGAGCTGACAGGTGGGCAGTTTAGTTCCTGGTCAGGGTATGTGCCTGGGTTGCAGGCCAGTTCCCCAGTCGGGGACATTCGAGAGGCAACTGATTGATGTTTCTCTCCCACAGATGGTTCTTTCCCTCTCATTCTTCCTCTCTTCCCATCCCTCTGAAAGTAAATAAAGTCTAAAAATATATGTATCTGAAGTGCAACTAAACAGTTCTGGCAACAGTATTAAATCTGGGACTGCAGCTGTGACCAGGGCTAAAATTTGGTTAAGTCTGTGGCTGTCTCCAGTCACTTTTAGGGTCCATCTGCTTTCTGCAGCACCCCTACATCATTTAAGTCTTTATTGGTGGCACTAGGCTGCTCTCCTTTGCCGTTTTGGAAACAGTATTGTCTTTTATTTACGATCTTGTTCTGGGGAGTGGGGAAATTTCAGAGGTTTTCACTTGGCTTTTTCCACTCTGACAGCTTTTACCGCATAGGTCATGGACCCATTGTGGGGGATTCTCTGACTTGTGGGGGTTGATACACATTCTCATTATATACTTGGGGGGAGTGGAAAGAGACTATTAGGTGGGTTTGCAGGCTAGTGAGCTCGCTATGAGTCAGACTTTTGCCAGGACTCTATTTATTACCCCAATTTAGAAAATTTTGCCCGGGAGTTTGGTTCTTTTGCCCCACAGAACCTGGACTGGGATTATTTTCTTGATTCCATTTAGCTGGTAGCTGGATTCATCTAAGAAGAAGGGGTTCACTTACATATCAGGTGCCTTGCTGCTATTCCATATGGCCTTTCACTGTCAGTGAGGCCAACATGGGCTTCCTCACATTGGTGGTCTCAGGGTACTTAAATCTTAGAAGTTATACAGCCTTCTGCCACATTCTTTTGGTCTGAACAAATCACAGAACTACCCAGATCTATGAGGAGGGCACATAAATTCCAATTTCTGATGGGGGGGGGGCTGGTGATAAAGTCTAACTGCAGAAGAGCTTATGGGATAAGAAATGTCCTCATTGTAACCATCCTGGGAGATACCGTTTACCATATCAGCTACTCCGACTACTGTCTTTCAGAATTTTATAGACCTTCCTTGTTTGCTGTGGTTTCCTTCTTGAATATATTCATTTAAAAAAATTACTTAAAAACTTTTTTCACTCTCATTTTAGTAAGGATTTAGCAGAGATATGTGTGGTCATTGACTCCATTATGGTTAAATAGCAGTTGTAATTTTTGGAATCAAAGGTTATTTCTGTTTTTCTTAGTGGTTCTGTGTTGTTTTATGAACCTAGTGGAAAACAAGTTGTCTTAGGTGTCTTATCTTTTCTCTCCATCATCTGATAATCCCTTTGTCTAGTTGCATATCAAAGCAGGATAGCAGTGTTTGGGCTGTCCTGATAGTATGGCATTATTCCTTATAGAAGAATAAGAAGGTGCATTTTATGTAGATAATTTACACTGGTTATAATCACAGTGCAGCAACATTCTATGTAGCATCAGTGGCAAAATACCTCTTTCTGTCAGTAATGTGGACTGCTCCCACATTCTCCTTTTGCTGTGCCACTGCTTTGGGCTGAGGTCGTACTGTGTCATCTTGGGGTTTTTAGTACCTCGTTATCTGAATGAGGGCTGTGGAGGGCTTCTCGACCTCTTTCACAGTGGGCAATAGGATTGTCTCGTACATTAGTATCACTTTGAGATCCTTTAGAAAAAGGTTTTTTAGAAAGTCATATTTTAAGAGGAATATTGACAAACTGGGTCATTTCCAGAGGAGGTCAGCCAAGATGCTTAAAGGTCTGAGACTGTAATCTGGAGGTGGGGGAAATAAGATGTAAAAGATTTTATGGTAACTTTCCAAATACTTGGAGGTCACTGAAGAAGGAGGGTTACATCTGTCTAGAAGTGAATTAGACTTTCATTTGAAATAGTGAGTTTTTAATTTCTGGCATTGTTTGAGTACAGGCCATCACTCATATGGAGGAGGGGTTGAGGGAGTTCTCTACTTTTTTAGTTCTCTTATAATTCAGAGATTTTATGACTTTTCATAGTCACAGCTCTGTCATAAGGGATTAATTGCTTAAAATCAGAATTGTGGGTTGTCCTATTTTAAAAAGTATATTTGAAGTAATCTAAAATATTTTCTATTCTTCAGGACTTAAACACCATTTATTCTTATCTTCATGGAATGGAAATATTATCAAACCTCAGGGAACATCAGCTTAGGTAAGTGTGATGCTATGTTTAAAAATATATACTATGAAGTTACCCAACTGAGTTTAGGTGGATAGTTGCAGGGCCCAAATCTTGAGGGGCTTTTTGTAGGATAAGCATAAGGAATTTGTGTTTATCATCCCAGTTTTTCTTAGCTGTTGGAATTCCATATAACTCCCCCTAAAACGTGATGGCTAATAGCCTACTGTTGATTGGAAGCCTTACCAGTAATATAAGCAGTCTATTAACACATATTAAGAAAATCATAAGGAAGAGGAACACATTTACAGTACTTAATGAAAGAAATCCACATATATGTGGCCATGCTCAGTTCAACCTGTGTTGTTTGAGGCTCAGCTGTAACTATGTAAAGCAAAGCACGGCGCCCAGTCTGTGCTAGCCAGTGACAGCAGCACTCTTCTCCTTTTGTAGTTTGTATTGATATTTACTATGTAAATGCTTAAGATGGGCATGGTATGATGTAGTGTTGTATCAGAGTGGAAGAAGCAGGATTCTTGATTTGATATAAGCTCTTGTGTACAAGATCCATAAATTTCTGAATCTCATTTTCCTATTCTTGTAAAAGTGTTTTTTCCTACTATATAGCATCATGATTATACTATTAGTAAGAACACTTTTGAGTGCTGTAAAGTGCTAACTATTGTAACTCTGCATAATATTTGAATTAAAATGTATCTTCCTCCTACGACCAGTCAATCCATCCCTTTTCCTGGTTATTCTTTAAGTTTTGGGTTATGGACCAGATTGATAATTAATTTTTTGCATTTATTATTTTCTGATTTTTGTATAACATACATAATTCACGTGTTAGTTTGTGTCAAATAAAAAATTAAGCTGAAAATAGAGGATTTAATAATGCCGAGTATTTTTAAATGCAAAAAAATTTATATATTCAACAGATTTGTGTACATGTGTGTATTTGCCTCTGCCATAACTCTTCTTCACACAAGGAATCAGTGTGAAGCAGACAAATACATATTTTTTCACAATGAAAAGAACATTATTTAGTGTGAATTGACAGGTTATAGAATGTACATAAGAGTGTTATACTTGTTGCCTCTTAATGTTTGTTTTTGAAAATTTTGCATTTAATGTGTATATATCTAAACTCCAGTTTACTGAAAAAGTTAGTACAATAGATCTGATCATTTTTTGTTGAGATGATTATAACAGAATTTTTGAAACAATTTAAGATACAAATGTTTAAAATTTTTACTTTCTAAAACATTTTAGATTAATGTCTGCAAGAGCACGCTATGAGAGATACAGTGGCAATCAGATTCTTTTTTGGTGAGTATTTTCAGAATTAGCTTAAATTAATTTCTTTGATGTTTAAGTTTCGACTTTTGTTGGATTGATTAAAAAAGCCTGTATGATTTTTTTTCTGTTAAAAGACAGGTTTTTCATTTTCACTAATAACTTCATTGATTTGGGTATTTTGACTATGTTGGCTATTTCCCAGGTGGTATATAATGTTGATTATTTTCAGTGTCTTAATTTGACCGCTGTCAATTTCAGCTGGTCTACCTGACTGTGGAGCATCATCCAGAGCAAAATCTCCAGCACAAAACTTGTACAAACTGCTTTTGACAAGTTTGATCAGTCACAGCACCTTTTCCATGCACTGCACAAATCCTTTCTTTTGCTTTTCAGTTGACGTTTTTACCTTTCTTGAAATAATAAAGCATAATATGCCGAGAATGTTGCATGTTTTCTCGTATCTTCAATATTAAAATGACTACACAAAAATTCACCAATTTTGATAAGTTTTTAATAAGTGCATGCTGATATGACAGCTGTCACAATACAATCTAACAAAATTGTTTCAGATGAAGTTAAAGACAACTAAGTGATACTAGAGTCATCATTCAGGAAAAACCAAACGAACTTTTTGGCCTGTCCAAAAGAATTGAAATTCATTTGATTCTTGAACAATTTCTGTAGAGCTGATTGGAATATATTCACAAGCTGTGAAATATATCAGGCATAGAGCATACAAAATGTGTACAGTACAACAAAGCTTAATAAATATATACACCTGTGTAGCTCAACATACAGAAACATGTCAGCTGTCCTAGAAGGCTCTAGTCGCTTTTCTTGGAAAGCTAATCCAGTTCTGACTTCTATCATAATAGATTAGTCTTGCCTGTTTTTAAATGTCATATAGATAAAAATCTTTAGTCATGGTTTTGTTTTGTTTTTACTTCGCAAGTGTCTGAAATTCTTCCCTGGTTTTGCATTCATTCTTTTTCACTGCTTTACAGTATACAATTGTGTGAAAATAACAATTTGTTTATCCCATTAATATTTAGTATCCTATTAATATGTAGGTTGTTTTCAGTTTTTTACTATTGTGGATAGTTTCTTAGGACATTTTGTTTGTATCTTTTTGTGCCCTTACTCATTCCTGTTGGTTGTATTCTTAGGAATAGAGTTATTGGAACCAAACATGCTCAAATTTAGGAGATTCTAACACTAGAATCTAACATGCACATTTTGTTATCTCATTCTGATTTTATTTTACATTTTCCTGTTTACTAATGATGATGAATGATTTTCGTATTTTATAGGCTATTTGGATAGCTCTTTCATGAAATCCCAATTCAAGTTTGACCATTTTTAAAAATTGAGTTGTATGTCTTATTGCTATCAGTTTGTAGAAGTTTTTTCTGCATTGTGTATCCAAGCCCTTTGTTGGATACTTACGTTGCATGTTTTCTCCCACAGTGCGGCTTTCCTTTTCACTCTATTGGCATCTTTTGAGGAAAAGAAATTCCCAACTTTCTCAGTTTTTCCCTTTGTCATTAGTGCTTTCCATGTTTAGGTAAAAAGCAAAACCTATCCCTTCCTCAAGATTACAAAGGTGTTCTTTTTTTTTCCCCCCCTAAAAGTTTTGGCAACAGTGACCTCTTATTACATAAAAATTCAACTGATATATAGGAATGGTATTGACTTCCATGTTTCATTACCTGCACATTGTATTTATTATTTTTCAACTGTTTAAATGATTCATATGGGTTTTAATAGCTACACTTATTTATTGATTCATTTATTAATAAATGTTTGTCCACTATGTGCTGTGCTTATCTTAGTATAGAATGGTGGGAAGACAAAGTATTTGCCCTTATCTTGTAATGGAAGAGAGTTATTTAGAGTAGTTACACACATTTAAGTGCTATCAGGAAAAAGTATAGCTATAGTGATCATTGGAACAGAAGTGAGAGCCCAGAAATAAACCCTTATATTTGTGAACAGTTCTGTTTTTTTAGAAATGGGCTGTAGGTAAGATCTGTGCACAGTGTGAATATAACATGATTGAGGATTAAAAAGGAACCAGCAACGAACAGTTTATTTTTGATGAAGGTGCTAAAGCATTTCAGTGGAGAAAACATAGGTTTTTTTCTTCCCCAATAAATGGTGCTGGGTTGATTGAGTTTTTACATGCGGAAAGCTAATTTAGACCCTTCTACCATGTACAATAATGAATGAGGTATCACTTTATACCCATTAGAATAGCTGCAGTGAGAGGGGTAAACAGTGACGCGTCGTGTTGGTGCTGATACGGTGACACCCAGTCACCATAGGAATTCTTTGCAAGATTGAAACAGCTTCTGATTCATAAGCTGGCTTGGCTCTCTTGGTAGGAGTGAACTTCAGGATTTGTCCTGCATTTGTAGTGGAATTTACTGATAACTGTTAACTGCTTCAGCCAAGTGAGATAAAAATTGGATGCTTGTCATGGCATCTATTCATAACTTTCTTCTGTCTTAATTTTGGACAAATTTTTCCTGTGTTGATTTTTTTTCCTTCTTGATTTCGTAAAACTCTTATTTCAGAAGACTGTGGAAGTGGAGTTTCTTTTTTTAAGGAATAAAGGTTTCTTTTTATTTTTAAAAAGATTTTATTTATTTTCAGAGAGAGGAGAAGGGAGGGAGAAAAAGAGGGAGGAAAACATCAATTAGTTACCTCTTGTCCACCCCCAAATGGGGACCTGGCCCACAAACCAGACTTGTGCCCTGACAGGGAATCGAACCAGCAACCTTTTGGTTTGTAGGCCAGCGCTCAATCCACTGGGCCACACCAAAATGGAATTTCTAAATAAAGAACCTTAAGTAGGAATTTTGCAGCCCTTTACATCTTCCCCTTGGCGAAGAATGGAAGAGATAAAACAAACTTTAAAATACCCATTGGAAAGTTGACAGTAATTTTTCCTTCTCATGGTAAGCAATTAGGATTGACCCAGAAAGCTTACGTTGGGTGCTGCGTGGAATGGTTCAGAGACCTGGGTTTCTGGAGAGATGATGGTACTATATTCACTGAGGACATAAAATACTAGGAAAGATCCAAGCTTGAAGAAAATTACAATGAGGTAGATTTTGAATATTTTGAGTTTGAGTTGTCTGTCAGATATATAAGATGACTTGTCAAGTAGACAGCATGATAGATACACAAGATCTGGCTGGAAAGTATCCAGCTATGTAATATGAAAAATAGACACTTATTGAAGAAGATAAAAGAAACATTGCACATAGAACAATGACACCTCAGTCCCCTTCAAAGTAGTAGGCACTTTGGGACCTCACACAGTTCTCTGAATAGCCATCAGCTGTCCCATTATATTTTCCTGAATCTCATCGACAGTCTGAAATCTCTCTTCTTTCAACAGTGATTTTAGTTTGGGAAAAGCCAGAAGTGGCAGGGCACCACATCTGGGTTGTAGAGGCACTGAGTCACCTGGGTGATTTAATGCTTCGCCAAAAAACTGCACGAGATGAGATACATGAACAGGGGCATTGTCTGATGAAGGTGCTAGTTACCAGTTGCCATAGCTGCGGTCTTCTGAATCATCCAGATAGTTCCCGTAGAGGAATATTCAGGCTTAACACAAAATTTGGTGCAGATTCATTGCTCTACTTGCTCAAGTCATTCTGAGTACAATGGCCACACAGTACACATGCTCACTCAAAGGCATCTACTGCCTCCACTGACTAGTACAGTGAAGTTGTCATTGTTCATGTTTGTGCATTCCAGTCCACTCTCCTTGACTGCCAGGTTGCATTGATGTTGCTCAGACTGTTCTCGTTATATTAACAATGGTTGGACTTTTTCCAGACAGACCTTGTACAGGTCTTAATCTCAGAGGACAGATTTGTTTTATAGATATTAGAATCTCCTTTATGTTAAAATTGGTTGAAGACTTAGGTATGGTAAATAAAGATATTTGATTGAAAGATTAGTTTAGACTGTAAACTAACATCTAACAAAATTCTGGGTTTCACTGGAGATTTAATTGAACTAAAATGTTGATGGACTTAAGTCATCTGATACTCTTATTTTATCCTTCAAATATATAAAATAAGAAATCTCGGTAGGCATATTTTTATGTCTTTCAGAATAACATTGTAAAGCAATAAGTAGATCATTATGATCTAAATTTAGTTGGAAGTGAAGACATAACATTGATAAATTTGTGAATTTCAAATAATAGTCTTCATATACATAAAAGTTACCAGAAATAGAATTTCTAATGCACACATGCAGTACAATATTTAAGGTAATCTTCATCACATGTGATGGTCTTGTACACATAAATGAAGAACGTGAATTTAATGATAAAATTAGTAGGATAACACTAATAAACATAGTTTTATTTTAGACTTTGATTTAATCTTTATTGAAATTTTTTATTACCCTTTAGTCCCTTTAAACCATCCTCCACCCAGAAATCACCACAAAACATGCAGTTCTGAAGTCTATCATAAAGTAATGATTATAGATTTTCCCTATGTGAACATGGTCTGTGTTCCTTAATTTTTAATGATTTTCTGTATCAGACTGTATTTCATGTTACGTATTTTCTGTTGACTTCATATACATGTAAATGTGTGTATTTATTTACTCAATCATTTACTTATTTAAACAGCTCAGAAACTATTGCCAGATGTTGGTATATCCTGCTTTCTGGATCTGTGCTCATGAAAGACTCCATGGTCTTGCCTCCATGCAGGTACGTTCCTATTTGCTGCTTTGTGCATGTGGCAGGCAAGGGTAACATCATGTCTGTGCGGTTGACCAAGAAGTCCATTTGGTTTTTACTGTAAAATAAAAGACACATTTTTCATTTTCTCCAAATAACTGTTGATGTGGATATTTTGAGTACGTCGGCCATCTCCCATGTGGTGGAATGTTGGTTGTTTTCACTTAATGTATTGATTGATCACTATGAACTGCAGCTCATCTACCTGACCAGGGAGCATTGTCCAGCCAGAAATCTCCAGCACAAAACTTCACAAACGACATTTGACACGTTTAATCAGTCACAGCATCTTTTCCATGCACTGCACCAATCTTTTCTTTTGTGTTCCAGTTTTGTTTTTACCTTTCTTGAAATAATAAAGCATAATATGCCAAAAATGTTTATTTTCTTCCATCTTCAATATTAAAGTGGCTACAGAAAAGTCACCAATTTTCATAAGCTTTTTTTTAAAATGCTCTCTGATATGATAGCTGTCACAACGCAGCCTAACAAGATTGTTTCGAATGAAGTAAAAGAGAGCTAAGTGCTATTAGAGCCATCTTTCAGAAAAAAACAAATGAACTTCTTGGCCAACCCAATATTTATTTTATTTCTTATGTTAAACTATTTTATGTAGATTGTATGTTTTCTCTCATTTTATAAATGTCTTTGCTTGTAAATTGGAAATACTTGACAGGAATCAGCTGATATTTCATATTTTCTAAGGGTGTAATCTTAAAATATACACCATGACATAATATCTTAGTCCTGTTTGATCTTTAGTTTTATGTGAAAGTTGATCCGATTTATCCGATGGTTTCTGGATTTGTTGATGTTAATGATTGTAGAGAGAGGTACTATATTTTAATAGTTAAGAAATTGGTTTTTAGAGAAAGTCAAGCTAGGTATAATTTATTATTATCAGTTATTAGTTATCTTACTTTGGACGAATTTGAGTTTCTTGACTATGAAATGAGGATAACAATAACACCTACTTCAGTGTCTTTATGAGATTTTGGCAGGCTCCTACTCAGAACTCTCAACAGAAGTCTGTAGAAGTTGGCACTCTAGAGCCAGACTGCCTGAGTTCCTGTGTGTGCGCTCTTTATACCTCAGTTTTCTCAGTTGTAAAATGCAGGCAATAATACAACCTATTTCATAGGTTAGTTTTGAGGAATAAATGAATTAATATTTAATAACGTTCTCAGAATATTGCCTACTAATAAGTAATTGTTAATTGTCACCACCATGGTTACTAGGTAAAAGAAGAGAAGGGTGGTTAGAAAGATGGTCAGTTGTATTGGTGAATTTGCTCTGTTAGCAATTCTTAATATTGTGGGGCCTCAAATTATAATTTGATGACAAAAAATGTAAATTTTTAGTGACTTTTTCTAATGTTGCAAAGAGACTTTTGGTCATTTAAAAGAGTAAGACTTCTAATTGCAGCTAAATTGGTTTAGTTCAATAACTTAAATTCAATTATCAAGATACAGTCTACTAGATAGATGGTATGGGACTTAGTTTTGATGCCACCTTTAAAGTCATTTCTTGAGACCTGAAATGCTTCATCATTGGCCTTTGGTGAAATGAAATCTGTGCTTCTTGACTAGTAGAATAAAACATTGTTGACTGATTTTACAGATAAAACATAGTAGGTTTTGTTTACTTAAGGAATGATGCCATGTCAGAGGCTCAGTGTTGGTCTCTGCTGTTGGCAGATTAGGTACCAGCAGTAGCATTAGCATTGAGGCTGTGTATTCTCCATTTCTGCCACTGCCGCCACTCCATTCATGGGCTCATTGAATAAGCATGTGGAGTGGCACGGGAAGGAGTTTGACACCCAAAGAGCTTGTCATTTTGTTTACCTGATTGTTAAAAGTCGCTTCTTACAGTGGAGACCCTTTGGGCATTCATATGGGATGCAGATATCTTCAGAGTCTGTGCCCATTCTTAAAAAGATCCTTCTACATACCTCCTCCTCGACTTCTTTGTTATCAGTCTTCTAATCCTGTTCCTTCTGAAGTCCCTGACCACTCAACCAAACCATTAGTGACTGCCCGTGAATCTATTTAGATTGATAATTTTGACTATCTCTCAATTGAGACAAAATGGACAACCAGATGTACTGCTTGAAGTTCTGTTCCCTAGGAGGATGTTCTTTCACTACCTTCCTTTAGGATTACCTCTGAGTGAGGCTGTCCACTTTTGGGTGGCACCAGCATGTTGTACAGACTCATCTGTAAAACAAGCTCGAGTTTTATCTTCCTCATTCAACTGCAACTCCCCAGGCGGGCATAGGCACAGATTGAGGTGGAAGAGACAATGCAGCAGGAGTTGGTGTTGAAGGAGTCTGAGCCAGACCTATTGTGGACCTGGGTAAACTCAGCCTCTTATATACCATATTTATTTGGTAATAGATTAGTAGCTGTTGCTCATGCCCAACCCTCATGGCTAGCTATGCAGTTCCTTATGGGAAGTTTTAGGCTACAAAATAACCTGATGCCCCATGCATGGTTAAGCATTCAGTCTACCAAAGCCCAGTAGCAAGCCAGACGTTATTTCTTCAAAGTAGAATGCAGTAAGCACTCACTAACATCATAGATAAGTTTTTGGAAACTGCGACTTTAAGTGAAATGACTTAAAACCAATTTTACTATAAACTAATTGATATTAACTGGAGTTTAGTTCGGTTCCTCTGGCATATTTCTGGTAACAAAACCATCACCAAACTTCTAAATAAAAACCGAAAACACTTCTAATATTAAACATTGAAATGTATGTGAGGTATGCACTTAGAAAGATGAGTGAAAACAAGTAAGATAATTATTTTCTACCTGTTTATACCAGTTCAGGGTAATAGGTGGCCAGAGACTACCCGAGTAGCTCAGGGCACTGTGGTAACCTACCCTTCCATTGCAGGGCACATTCCCCTTCCGAATCCCCCTTCCCCACACACGCACACACTCATTTTGACAGTGCCACTGGACCCTACAGGACACCTACTGCATTAAGCCACACTACCAAGACACAGTCAAAGAAGCTCTACCTAATACATAGAAACAAACACAGGGAGGCTGTCAAAATGAAGAGACAAAGAAACATGGCACAAATGAAAGAACAGATAAAAACTCCAGAAAAATTGCTAAACAAAGTAGAGATAAGCATTCTTTCAGATGCAGAGTTCAAAATACTGGTTATAAGGATGCTCAGGGAACTTAGTGAGGACCTCAGCAACATAAAAAAGATCAAGTCAGACATGAAGGATACACTAATTGAAATAAAAAACAGTTTACAGGGAAACAACAGTAGAGTGGATGAAGCTGAGAATCAAATTAGTGATTTGGAACATAAAGGAAGCAAAAAACAACCAATCAGAACAAGAAGAAGAAAAAAGAATCCAAAAAAAAATAAGGATAGTATAAGCAGCCTCTAGGACCACTTCAAGAGGTAGAACATTTACATCATAGGAGCGCCAGAAGGAGAAGAGCAAAAAATTGGAAATCTGTTTGAAAAAATAATGAAAGGAAATTTCCCTAATTTGGTGAAGGAAATAAACATGCAAGTCCAGGCAGCACAGAGAGTCCCAAACAAGATGGATGCAAAGAGGCCCACTCTAAGATACATGATAATTAAAATGTCAAAGGTTAAAGATAAAGAGAGAATCTTAAAAGCAGCAAGAGAAAAAAGTCAATTACCTACAGGGTAGTTCCCATAAAGACTGTCAATTGATTTCTTAAATAAACTTTGCAGGCTAGAGGGATTGGAAGACATACTCAAAGTCATGAAAAGCAGGGACCTACCTATAGGCAAGATGGCTCTACCCAGCAAAGCTACCATTTAGAATGGAAGGGCAGATAAAAAGCTTCCCAGACAAGGAAAAGCTAAAGGAATTCATCATCACTAGATCATTATTATATGAAATGTTAAAGGGACTTAAGAAAAGATAAAAAATATGAACAATAAAATGGGAAAAAAATACAAGTGTACCAACAATTGAACCTAAAAAACAAACTAAGCAAACAGGAAGAACAGAGAGAATCATGGATACAGAGAGTGTTTTGATGGTTGCCAGATGGGAGAGTGGTGTAGGGGAAGGGGTGAAGAGGTGAGGGGATTAAGAAGTACAAATAGGTATTTACAGAATAGTCATGGGAATGTAAAGTACAGTATAGGAAATGGCATAGCCAAAGAACCTACGTATGTATGACCCATGGACATGAACAATGGTGGGGGTACTGCCTGAGAGAGAAGGGGCAAAAGGGAAAAAATCAGGACAACTATAATAGCATAGTCAATATATAATTTAGAAAAAAGAAAGCAAGGATTGCATTACATGTGATCTTTAAATAAACTGAACATATGTATTAATAAATTGTTTAATATTTTAGAAATTGATTTGAGAGAGAGAGAGAGAGGAAGAAAGAGACACACATTGATTTGTCATTCCACTTACTAGTGCATTCATTGGTTGATTGCTGTATGTGTCCTGACAAGGGATTGAACCTGTAGTGATGATGTATCTGGACGATGCTTTAACCAGCTGAGCTACCCAGTTTGGATGAATGCATGCATTTATTTATGCAGGACGTAAGCATTGATTGTCATTCTATTAAGACACAAGCATAATGACAAAAAGAAAAAAGAAAAAAAAGACCTTGGATTGAACCCTACATATTGTGGACGTGGAAAGAAAAACTTTCTTGGGGAGGCATTTTGGTAATGGATTCTACAGATAGGCAGGATAGGGTAGGCAAAGTAGGAGGGAGCCAGCATTTCAGTCAAATTTCTCAAGCACAGGGGCGTTAATTCACTTAGAGAAGATTTATTGAGTGCCTGCCTGCATGTGTGTCTCCGCCAGTCATTGGGGTTGGGAAAGGTTTTCACCTTTAAATAGCTTTGTCCATTTTCTAAAGACCTTTTTTTTTGACAAAGTAATACATTTGTACTGTTCAGAAGTCAAAACAGTATATAACAAGTACTTCAAGAGGTAT